GTTACACCCTCAGTCTGTACACCTGAGAAGATCAGGCTACTTTGCCCACAGCAAGGGAGCCTGAGAACCAGGAAGACACAAGAGTGTCTTTTGTTTTTGACTTAAATTAGGGCCCTGGGCACTTGGATAGACTTCTGCTGAAACTAGTATGAGAAGTAATCATTGGTGACTAAAACTGTGACTATCCCTCCATACCAAGTTGTCAGTGAGGGTTCCTGAGTTTCACAACCTCATAAGTGAGCCTAAAACCTCAAGAAAACGTCTAGAATGAGGAAGTACAAAAGAATGTTGCTACAGTGGTTGGAATCCAAAGTCTTTATCATCCTAAACACTGAGTAAGGAGAAGGAGACATGTCCAATCTGTGGTATGCATTTTAGAAGGATTCCCAGCCCTAAAGCTTAGAACAGATTTCCTGATTGCACATGATTTATTATTAAATTCCCTGCTGAAGGAGGCATGTTTCTCTGATGTATTATATAAATATAAACGCTTTAACATCAACTTCAAATCATGGTCCTCAGTCCTCAGAACACTAATGTGATCAGAGGTAGACCCAGAGTGGCTGTGTTTTGTGGATTTTCCCCATGGGAGGAAGCATCTTTTCTAGCACTGTGCATGGTCTACTTAGCAAATTTTCATGATTCAATAAAGCTGAACCTATTGAGTTTCTACCAGTTTTCTACAAATATACGTATTGCCCCATGGAGACCTTTTGGTCCTAAGCTCATTGGATAAAGAAGTGTTGAATCGTTTGTATGACATTTCCATTGTATTTTCAAGACAATCTCACATTCGTTATTTGAGTTTTCTATGAGCATTCCTGTTTATATTTATTTATCTGTTTTTGTTTCTTTGTTGAAATCATTCCCAGTTGTGTGCAATTCATTTTTAGTTTTGCATTATCTTGATTTTACCTGTTTTCTTCATAATAACATATTTATTTTGTATACTGCTTGATTGGTTTATTACGATTGCATGATAATAATAAGATTAACTTATACCTATAGTCATACATACAGGAAACATAATTTTATCAATTTCTTTCTCCAGTATTTTCCCTTTATTTCCATTACACCCTCCCCAAAACATGTTTTCTACTCAACTGGTCTCATACCTGTTTTAATTAATTGGTGCAATAAAATAATAAATAAATTTGAAATTAACTGTGATATGTAGCTCTTAGCACATAACATCATTTGTTTGATGTCATTCCATAGTACCTGCCCATTCTCTCATTTTCTCCCTCTCCTAGATCTACTCCTCTATTCAATATTTCTCCCTTTAATGATCCACTTCTTTCTTTCATAAGTGGAAGTTATCAAAAGATAAAATAATAAAGATGAAAACTCACTCAGGCGTGTTTTTAATGAGTAAATAAGTTTTTTTTCATGAACACTTTGCTGATAGGGTTATTGACTTTGAGATTCTCATTGGATGTAGAGAAGGCTTAAGTTAAAAATTATTTAGTTATATATTCTACAGGGTTAAAAAAAGAAGAAGAAATGCTCCAAGTGAGAGAATTAAATTTTCTTTTCGTTCCATTTTCATTTTTTAAAAAAGCTACTTCAGTTGAACTAAATTCAGTTATGCATACAGTCAACCAGGTCTACATGGCTACACTACTCAAAAATACACCAAGCTTGGAAGGGCTTTCCTGTTTTTTTTTTCTGTTTTGCTTTTTGTGTGTCAGGAACACAGAGGGTCTTACTCACTAAGGATCATCCCCAGCCCCTTTTTATCTTAGAGAAAAAGTCATGCTAAGTTGATTATGACCTTTCAGTGTTGCTGAGGCTGGCTTTGAACTTGTGATCCTACAGCTTCAGTCTCCCAAGCTGCTGGATTTGCAGGTGTGCACCACCACTCTCAGCTTTTGGGGCATTCCTGACTAAGAGTTATGTATGCATGATATCACACATTGTTTATATTAGATATATCAATGTCAGTGAAACTTCCAGGAAAGAACAACTGGCCTCTTAGAATAAGATTACAATAACTCCCTTCTCTTCAATTTCTAAAGACTTGTTTTGTGGCCTAACATACAATCTACTCTGCCAATGAATACACTTTTAATTGAGAAGAATATGCTTAAGACCAGATTCTACTGTGGGTGACAGTCTGAGAAGAGCCTCCCTTAAGTTAGGACACTGTTTTCCACATGGATAATCAGGGTGAGCAGTTTTCCAGATGTCTGCTTACATCTGCTTCTACTAATTTATCTTGCCAATGAACCTGCTGTGGAGCAAGTGGAGTTTATACTAATTCAGTCACCCACTGAAAACACAATATCTGTTAGCATTGAGATGCATAGACTTAGCAATTTTACTTTGTGATTGGGCCAGATAGTTTTTGTCATTCTGGATAAACACAATTGCAACTCTGTGATGTGAAGTAACATGGCAAAATCCTTGCTCACACACCTTTTGCACTGTATGTGATGAATGGTGATTCTCTTCATGTGTTCATTTTCATTCTGTTACTAACTCAATAACTTTTTGAGATAATTCTTGTCAGCATGCAAAAGGAAACATTCAGGGGAGAAGGAGGTCAGTAGCTCTTCAATTTATCATGTTATTGTCCAGATGTATCAAAGCCCTCCTCTGATTCTATTTTCTCAGGAAAAGTGAACCCCGAGCCAAGAAACCCTTCAAGGAGACAAAGAATTATGTCTGGCACTAAAAAGGACCTGGAAATATATGTGCACAGATCTGATCCAAAGTCCTATATCCACCCAATTCCTGGACACATTTTAAGTGGCTCACAAAAGCAATGTTCATAACCATTGGTGATAAGAAACATCTTCAATGTCCCAAGTTGAGCATTATGATGAACAACTTCTCTGTAATATTTTTGTTGTTTTTGTTTTATTTTGTTTGTTTTTGAGACTGGTTGTCCCTCAGTTGTTGAAGCTTGCCTTCAACTTGTTATTCCCACTGCCTCAAGGTTCTGAGTATCTTGGATTATAGGCATGCACCACCACAGATGGAAAAAAAATTCACTGATGAGAAATCTAACTTGGGCCATGGCAGTGAGAGAGGTGAACTCTAACCATTAGATCACCAGAGCAGCTCACAACAAATACTTTTTCATTGACAGAAGGACCCTCTGGTGGTTCTCATGGCCAGTAGCCAAGTTTTCCTGGATACTTATTTTCTCTAATATTTCCCTTATGGACACAGGGGTTTTGGGGGGCTCCTCACTTGACTTTCTTTCTCCAACTAGTTGTTGTACAGAGCAATCTCTAGATGCAGCCAGTTGTGTAACACCCTGCCAACATCATGGTGAGAACTTCCTTTCTCTTTTGAATGTTCAAACATCTAACTATTGTGCCCTAAATTTGTAAGGAACAATCTGGGCTCCCATGCCTGTTCCTTGAATTACCTTCTGTAGCTTATAAAGTAAACAAAATCATATAAACATAGCAAATATGGTGGCACTATGACTTCCTGGATTTTTTATATATTTCGTCTCTTAGCTGCAATTACCTGAATCAACTTTTATTCCCTGAAAATATCTAAGAGGGAGTGTTTCAGGTCAAGCTCTTGTCATCTTTGCCATCCTTCTAAGATTTCAAAGCATGTATCCTTGTAAGATGAGGCATTTTCTAGACACTGGTTATAACCATTGAGAATCTAACTTACATGAGATTAAGAGGAAAACATGAAAGGCACTCATTTCTTATCTAACTCACTGAACTTCAAAAACCTGATTTGGAGGCTCCTGAGGCAGGACATGGACGAAAATAGCTTTTGTGTCTTTTCCATGGATGTGCCATAGTCTTGGAAACAGCTAGAAATATACACCTTCACTGCTTGTCCCTGTCCTGAGTCTCTCTGATGTGCCAGCTGTTTTCAGCATATGGAGATACCACAGTTTTCTTAGGAGTATTCTTGTCATCAGATTGGCTCCAGGAAATGTGCTGCAGTTGCAGAGGTCCTTGCAGAGGTCCTGACAATATAAGATACACCTCAAAACTCTGACCTAAGCATACAAGTTAGGAACCTTGACTTCCCAATGGTCTTCTTCTTCCAAGTAACTCCCTGGAACTCATGCATGTCAGTCCTCTTGCCTTTTATCTCAGTCCCATCACAAGCCCTGAATTAGGACAGTTGTTATCCAAAGTGAGGAGAGGAACAACTGAGTATACATTCCCACAGGCTCCATGAGGAGACAATGAGCCCAGTGAACAGTGAACAGATAACAAAGGAATAGGATTTCTGATTGTTTCCCATCCATTTTTGAGGAAAATTCTTAGATCAGGAGGTCAATAATACAATCAATACAATGAAGGCTGGATTATATTCCTCTCTATATTTACAGAGTTATAAAATAAAATTTTAAGACACATGTGGTCAGAAAAAGGTGTGCATAAACACAGAAATATCCTGGGACCACAAATGTCATGATATGTCCCAAGCATAATCAAGGGAAATTCAACAAAATGTGAAAGGATCTCAAAAGGAATTTATAGAATGGAAGATGTCATTCAAGAAGAAATATCTGTTGTGTGCTTCTAAATATAAAAGAAAACCTTACCAATATTCACAGAAAGAAAGTCAGTGGTTTCCAGGGATATTCTGTGAGCAGAGATGGAGGGGGGATTCCCAAAGGGCAAAGTAGGTTTGTGGGCTGGTGGATAGATTCCTTGACCTGACTGTCCTGATGTTCCCAGAGGTGTGAAACTGTCTCAAAATCTGCCAAAGTTTTTACTTATGTGAATTTTATTGTCTGCCACAATTTTATGTAAGAAAACATATAAAATTAAGCTAAAACAACAATCACCCACATATACAATGAGGGTTAAGGATAAGAAGACACAGCTCTAGAATTACTGGAAATAGGGAAAATGGAGTGGGGAATAACAGGATTCCCCATAAGGTGTCAAGTCTGAGAAGACTAGGGTCTTCTTGCACTGTCTGCCTCATCAGCTGTACCTCAGTGAAAAGAGACCACAGCATCCTATTCAGCTGCTCAAACTAAAGAGGAGTAGAAATTTCTGTTTTTATGAATACATTTTTTTAGAAACATGTTGATGTGACTGATTCTGAGGGCAGAGGACAAGAGGCTTCTCCTTCAAATAAATGCCAGTAGATTCTGCTGGGCCTATAGTAGTGGTAGAAGAAAAAGTCAAAAAACAGGCCTGAGCAAAGCTGCAGGGTGTTTGCCCTCCTGACAGATGGTAAAGGGGTTCTTGTCTTACTTCCCCTTGAGCCTGGAGCACTGTGCGAGTATTCAGGCTGTCATCATAAGACTGACAGTGATAGACAGCCTCATCCTCAGGCTGGAGCCCAGTGATGGTCAGTAAAGCAGAGTTGCCAGACCTGGAGCCAGAGAAACGATCAGGGACCCCTGAGGGCCGATCATTATCATCATAGATGATGAGTTTAGGTGCTGTTCCTGAGAGCTGCTGATACCAGTGCACGAAATTGTCACCAATATTGTTGCTGCTTCCAGTGCAGGAGATGGTGACACTCTGTTCTGAAGCCCCAGACAGTGAGGGCTGCTGAATCAGCACAGACTGGACCCAGGACCCTAGAAGTGGAGGAGACATGCAGAAGGTGTTTTTTAATTAGAAACAAAAGTAGAATCAGAGCCCACATAAGAGAACTCCCACACCTTATTCCTCCTCCATATCATGTCACCTGAGCACTGAACAAAGAATGTGAGGAGGAAACAGGACCAGGCCATGGTGAAGATTATTCTGAGCTCTATCTCCTGTTTCCAATCCTGAGTAGAGGTTTCCCCAAGTGTCTCCCTTGCCCTATTTATACTCTAAGAAGGGGAAGTTCTATCCATGCAAATTAGTTTTCTGATTGCTCTCTGGGCCCTGGCTCACCTCCTATACATAAAGATGCCAAGTGGGTATGCAGGGGTGAAGTTGGGTTTTCTCAAGGGTGTGGGAGGTCACAGCTGTTAGCCTTAACAAGAGAGCCTCTTGCAGAGCCAGATGGCTTATTAAATTACTTGTTACTTCCTGACAAGTAATTTAATTACTTAACTGTTAACTGTTAACTGTTAAGTAATTAAATTAACTGTTCTGCAGTGCCCTCTTAACTGTTCTGCAGTGCCCCTATTGTTCATATATGTCACCCTAACTGCTGCATAGTTCACTTGACTCTTCTTTCGACAGGACTAAGATAGTGTCTTTGATATAAATTCTTCTCAGATCAGGACTAAGTAGGTGAACATAAGCTTCTGGTTTTGTTATCTTGTGAGTACCATCTAAGTTTATCCACAACACAAAAATTTTGTTCCAATAGTACTTTCACCTTTGTCTTGGCAAGGAATCCAGTTGCAAAATCTTATGAGAAGCCATTTGATGCTCTTTAGAAGATACTTTAATGCATGATTTCTCAGTTTGCTTACTTGTAACCCTTATTGTCAACCAGTGAGAATGATGGTTGTGACTATGAGTCAGTCACAACCATGTAGCATTTCAGTCACCTTTGCCTACATGAAATGCCAAAGAGGCTGGAGACCCTTAAAGGACTCAGATTACAGGACTCATGAATGTTTCCAGTCATGGAAGAAAATGCATTTTCCTCATCACTGGGAAATATGCAGGCAGTCTGGGCATGAATATCAGCTTTTCTTCATATTTATTCAATATGATTCAGTGTATCTCAGGAGAGTTCCATGTTTCCAACTTAGGAAGTAAATCATATTCTGATTTCTGATTTTTTAAATCTTTATTTTACCTTTTATTTATTCTTATTGGTTATAGATGACAATAGCATGTATTTTCACATATTATACATATATGTCGTATAATTTCACATTCTTCTGGTTGCACAGGATGTATAATTAAATTGGTCATGTGTTTATATACACACATATAACACTATGGCCAATTCTTTCTAAATCTTTCCTATTCCCATTCCCCATTCCTTCCCTTCATTCCTGTGGTGAGCCGTTCCTGCGGACTGTGGTCGCCATTACATGATGGCGCTGGCTCCGTTGTGGTCTGTGAAGGACAACTCCATATCAAAGAGAGTTGGCGTGTTCCCAGCTCCTTATCAGAGAAAGTTGGCGTGTCATTTTCTAGCACCCTGTGAGAAGGGTACACGTGGCAGCTTTGCATTGGGGTTCGAGGTGCTTTATTAAGGCTGGGAGGGGCATCCAATTATTATTCCGGGTATTAGAAGAATTATTAGAAGACTATCAAGGGCCTGAATAAACTGCTGAAAGAAGATTCCTGAGTTGCGTCTTCCTTGCGGGCAAGGGGGTCGTGACACATTCCCCTTTATCTATTCCTATGTATTTCTAATTTTTCTCTCCTCTTGCCCTTATTTTGGGTTAGCATTCACATATCAGAGAGGACCATTGTTTTTAGGCTTTGTGTTTTTTAGGATTGGCTTATTTTACTTAAGATGATAGTCTCCAGTTTCATCCACTTATCTGTAAATGCCACAAATTCCTTCTCTTTATGGCTGAGTAATATTCTATTGTGATATATATATATATATATATACATATATCACATTTTCTTTATCCACTTATCTTTTTAAGGCCAACTGTGCTGTTTTCATTGTTTAGAAGTTATGAATTGAACTGCTGTAAAAATTGATATAGCTGCCTCTTTATAGTATTCTGATTTTAAGACCTTTGTGTTTAAACCAAGGAGTAGGCTACTTGGGTCAAATGGTGGTTCCATTCCAAGTTTTCTGAGAAATCTCCATATAGGTTTCCAGAGTAATTGTACCAAATTGTAATTCCACCAGCAATGTATGAGTGTACATTTCCCCCACATCCTCATCAATATTGATTATTGCTTGTATTCTTGATAATTGCCATTGTAACTGGAGTGAAATGAAATCTCAGTGTAGTTTTAATTTGAATTTCTCAAACTGCTATAAATGTTGAATATTTTTTCATAATTTTCACAATTCCAGATCCAATGATAGTCAACAAGTGCCATTCTACAGACTAGAATCTTCCATACTTAGAAACATAACTCACTTCAAAGTAGGTTACTCCTTTTCAAATCCAGCACAATTTGTAATTAAATAAAGAATTAAAAATCAAGCAATTATATTTATTTCTCATAAGATAAATTGTGTACATTGTGTAATTTAATATTTTTATATTAGTATAGAAATTTGAAAACTAACTTACATTTTCTGATTAATAGATTATTTTACAATAAATTATATTAGAATGTGTGCATTATTAAGCCATTCAAATTTATAAAACTTTAATATATTAAATTTTCATCACTATTTTTGCCCTCCCTCCTTTATTACTTTCTTCCTTCTTTCTTCTACCTGTGATGAATAGGAAGTGCGTGTCCCCTTGTGCTTTTCTGTAGTTTTAATGAAAATTTATTTCCACCTTCATATAGTTCTCTTAAGTGCAAAGACTGTTGGTTTCTTGCAGATTCTTTTTTTCCACAGATCAAGCTCCACTTGTCTTTCAATTCAGAAAAAGCAAGACAAAAATTCTTCCCTACTCCATTGCAGATCAGGAAATATAATTCTCCTCTTCTCCATGAGTGTACCCAAATCCACCAGCACATGGAGTTTTCTTTTGATTATCTTTTGTCTAATTTTATCTCAAAAAATGAACCCAGAATATTTAAAATTTTTACACCCAGCAACATAAAACAAACTGTATAAAATTACCAATGTTTTAGGAAGAAAATTGCAGAACCAAATAAGAACATAATAGTGGAACTGTAAATCATTGCAACCATACCAGAAAGCAGCCTGGAGATTCCTCAGAACACTTGGAGTGGAACCACTATTTGACCCAGTTATTCCACTTCTCAGTTAAAATTAGCATACTACAGTGTTGCAGCCACATCAAAGTTTACAGCAGCTCAATTCACAGTAGTTAAACTATGTGACCAACCTAGCTTCCCTTTAATAGATGAATGAATAAAGAAATGTGGTACATATGCACAACGGAATATTATTTAGCCTTAAAGAAGAAAGAAATTATGGCATTTGTGGGTAAATAGATGAAACTTGTGACTATCAGCCTAAGTGAAATAAACCAGTCCCAAAAAGGCAAAGGTTGAATGTTCTCTCTGATATGTGGATGAAAAACCATAGCAAGTTATAGTAGGTGGGGTAAATTTAGAAGTTCATTATATTAGACAAAGGGGAATGAAGGTAAAAAAGGGGGGTTGAGAATAGGGAAGTCAGCAGAATGAATTGGACATAAATTCCCTGTGTAAAATATAGAAATAGATGACAACTATAACAACTATATAAATAGATGACAACATCATGTTCACCTCCAAGAATAGGATCAAAATTATAATGAGTTTTGCCCAATGTATGAATAATATGTCAAAATACAGTTTACAGTCATATACATCTAAAAACAACAAATTTTAAAAGAAGAAAATAAACATATGAAATAACACTAAATCTCATCTATCTGTGCATATTAAAGTAACAATGAAATGTGCTACACATCTATGGGATGGTTTACTATTCCACAAAGGCATTGAAGTGAAAATAAACATATTCTACCAAAACTGCACATTTACTGTGATTCCACATGCCTTAAGTTGATGTGTAAATCAAAAGGAATGATAACATATGCTAACCTAGCATGAGTTCACTTGTTCACTAAGGCCAATCTGTGGATTATTATATAGATGCAGGCATATCCTGGTTATTCACATGAAGAATAAATCACTTAAATGAGGATATTAGTATACCAATAGACTCCTTTTCTTCATTAATTTAAACACAAGGATCTAAGATTACTGAAACAGAGGATTTTAAATGCACAGTATTCATTCAATTAGGCTTGATATTATGATGAAAAAAATGAACCAATTTTAATGTTATGTTCTAAGGCTTTGGAATATTGAAATTTGAAATTAAGTTCGGACAACATTTTATATGGACCAAAAAATTATTTTAAAATCTTTTAATTTTTACTGCTTCCACTTGAAGCTGAACATCTCAATTCTATTATTCATATGTGTAGTTTACATGAGTCTAAAATTAAGAAGTTAAAAAAAATCAAATAAAAAGAAAAAATAAAATAGCGCTTATATGTCTATCTGTAGAGACATCAGGGATGTTTACATGTTTAACTCAATGATATTGTTTTAAAGAAAATGCAGTTACAGAATTCAGTGTATAATATGCAATTACAATGGCTGAGTCATGATGGATAGAGACATTTATCACTGCTAAAATTTTATTACATATACAATTATGCATAGTTTATAATTTAAATAAATTATTGTTGAATTTTGACTGATAATGATATTACACGTTATCATGTTGATGGGTTTCAACTTCTATGTCATACCTTCTTTACTGGTGATAATTGATAATTTTATTATTTTTAGTATTAACATAAATTGTGACTCTTTTGTTTTGCATTTTGCAATTCCTATGAGATTTGTGTAATAGGGTAGAATTATGCTGTACCACTAATGAAAACCAGAATCTGAAGTCTTATTTTATAGTGAGGTTTTTGACCACTTGGAAGCTCTACAGATGAGTAACATGTCCTGCTTCCTCATATGGTTTTCCTGTTATAAGCACTAATTTTATATACAGGTCAGTAATAATTGTTCTTGTCCTCATACTGGAAGCCAGAGATTTACAAATACACTTCATTGATTGAGACATCTTTGTACCCAAAAATTCAATTGGGGAACCCAGGCCCCAGCTGTTTGTCTGAGTCTGACTCAGATACAAGTTTGAGTAGTGCTCAGA